ATCTATGCATCCTTATACCAAATATTAGAAAAGAATCCTCCAATGTGCTCTGCACACACCTTAATAGTCCAAAAAGTTAAAATACATTTCTAAACTCTTTCACATTCAAGAATATTAAACCCTAAAACATTTCACACAATTGAGACAAATGTCTTTTACAAGATATAAAGTAATATTAAAACTAAAGATAAAAAATAAAGAACAAAATATGAAATAATATTAAAACAAAAAATAAAAAACAAAGAACAACTCAGCAAACATGATTGAGATATTTGGTTTGGATCTCAAAAGAATTATTTTACAATTAAAAAAAACTATCTATTATGTTATGTGTTACAAGATTCCAAAATAATCTTGTCAACATTTTAATACAAGATGACTATAAATCTTTAGAAACCATTCTTAAAAAAGATGTCAAAAATATTATCTCAAAACAATTTTTTTCTAGATAGCAAGCAATATTTTCTTGTTATGATTTTCAAATAGAACATATCAAAGGAAAATTAAATTATCTTCCTAATTTTTTTGACAAGAGAATTTTTACATGAAAAAATAATTGATCAAGACTACTGTCAACAATAAAAGCCAATAACGGGCACTCCTATAAAACCATAAACACCTTCTCCAAAGAAACAAAATCTTTCCATGCAATGAACTTTCATCAAGGAAATTCAATAAATCTTTTAGCACCATAAAGATAAACTAGAACACACAACAATCTTTTGGTTAAATACCAAAATCATATTTCCTTTCATCACCAATACCTCATTCATTTTCTCATGCTGTCAATACTTCACTAGTCCCTACTAATTCAACCTTACCACCTAACCTATGACCAAATCATATACAATCTTCATGATATTAATAATAGTAAATACAAATACAAATATAAATACCAGACCAAACTCTTTCCATTACAATACTAGAATTTTAATCTTTAAAACAAACTTCTAAAGAAACATACAAAACAATATTCCTACCAAAATTTTATCACTTACCAAAAAACTTGATAAAAACTAGATAGTTTTATAAGTTTATTTTAAGAGAAACTGATTTTATTAAAGTAATTCATGCCCCAAACCGTAATGATCCAAACATAATTGCCTATTCAAAATTGTTTGCCTATTCAAAATGCAGTATTTTAGAATTTCTCACTCTTTATAAGTCAAATCAGAAAATTTTTACAGAAAAATGTTTTTCTCAAAACTATTTTTCTCAAACATTTTCATATCAAGATTACAAAAATGCATGGTACAATACTCTTTGTTATAACCTAATTTTCGACAACATAAATTCACTAAAAAAAATAAAATAAAAAATTGAAATTTGAGTCAAGACAATACAAATTGAAAGTTTTAAGGGTTTAATCATGTTAGATTTATGACTTTGAAAGTTAATTTTGAAAGAAATTGAAAGAATTAACAAGTCTAGGGTTTCAATTAAGTTTTGATTTGGTTTAATTAATCACATCAGGAGTTTAATTAAATAATAAATAAGTTTAGGGACTTGATTAAACTTAAAATTAGTTTAATTAATGAAATTGTAAGTTTAATTAAAAAAATTGACAAGTTTAAAGGCTCAATTAATTTACTCTCCACTGTTCACTTTGTAGAATAGTGGAGATGACGAAGCAACAAAAGTAGGGAAAGAGGAGAAGGGTTGGGGAGAGCAAACCTGACGACAACTCATGATGCTGCTGATGGCAACGAAGAGGAAGAATGATAGTGGTGAGAAGAAAAAAAATGGTCATTGTCGTTTTTCCTTTCTGTATAGACATGCAATCCAAAACTAAAGAAGAAATAGAGATCGTGAGGATGACCAATGAAATAACTTAAGCTTTGATAATCATAAATCAATCCTAATAACATAAATTTCAAATCTTTATAAACCATAATCTCTTCTTTGATCATTCCATAGACAATCCATCATCAAAAGTAACATAAGAGAGAACTATTTATTTTCTACTTCTACTTTTCTTGAATAAAAAAACTTGAGATAAAAAACTAAAACCATTAGTTGGTAAGGGGAGGGTTATGATAACCACAAGAATTAAAAGAGGAAAAAGCAATTCTCTTACAACTTTTTTTTTATATATCTAGGTTAACTTAGATTGGGTTTTGGCTGATTTGGGATTGGGCCAAAAGTTTGGGTTTTATAAATATGTCACTAAAGAAGGATAGTAAATAAAATATGTGGTAGACAATACAACATAAAGCTGACCTAAAAAACGATAGCTAATATTTAGAGTAATATATTATTGATATGCTTTGATACCAAGATAAAATTTAGAATAAAAAAGAATGTTATTATTCAATAATTTAACGTGTATTTTATATTCAATTCATATAGAGTTTATATAGTCATATAACAAACATTAAGAAATAAAATAAAATAAATTATAGAAAATGCTTAACCATCTTCTTTGATTAGATGATTGAAACAATTTCTTGATTGCCTTGAGTTGTTTAATTTCTTGATATCTCTTCCTTTTATTGATAAGAAAATAATCAAGAATATTTATGTTGATTATTTTTTTAAATATAAAACTATTCTTAAGAACTTATCTAATAATTTAAAATTTTAAATTAAGATGATTATTTAATATGATATCAAAGTTTTATTGATCAAATATTCAAAGTATGTTGTGAGTTTATATATGTTCAAAGTCTATTTTTTTTTAATTTAAGAAAATATACTAAAAATAATATAAAATTATTCTTGATTTTTCATTTAATAACTTAATATTTTCTTTATAATTTAAATTTTTAGCTTGAAATGTTTTTGTAACGTAAGAAGAGCAAAGAGAGAGATTAAAAATGAAACAGGTCCTACGCTGTACGTTTCAATTAACTCTTCAAGCAGTGCAAATAGAATCAGAAGCCTTCGGAGAATCAGCAACATACGCACTAGGGCACATCAAGAGTTCTGAATCAGAGAATAGCTCAGTCCAACTCAGTCAAAAGGAATATCTTTCCTTAAACCGAAGAGCCAAAGAAGGGACTTCACTTGCTGACCGGCGGATTTCTGTGCCCGTGGAGAAGAAGTTAGCAGCTGATGCAAGCCGGAACTTAGAGTCAGTAAGATTGAAAGAAATTCGTTCTGAAAAGAACATGTCAGGGATAAGGAGAATGGATGAGAAAAAGATAACTGGAGATGGATCTACCATTAAAGAGGAAGAAGGACAACAAGATTCAAAATGGATGCCTCATTGAAAAGATCAGGACATGCTTTTCCTAGAGCTCGAGCAAAAGCAATTTCTAAATCCAACTCGATGACTCCACATTCCACAACAACATATGACAGGATCAGCTAGAAAAAGAAATATGCGTTTTCTCGTACAAAGCAGCAGAAGATTGTTTGGATGGCTTCATATGGGTATGTAAGGTGGCAAGCAAGTTTCGGAGAAGAAGATATTAATAAAATGTAACATATTAACCCAAAATAAATAAATAATCAATGCCGCAAGTTTTTTCTTTTTAATGTACAACTCTCTGGTTTGAGAAGAACAAGAACTTACGTCCTTTCTAATTATCTGTCAAAGTCTAAATATCTAGCTAGCAGCTTTAACAGAGCATAAAGAATGGCGAGAACAAAGAAAACAGGCATTACGCTCCCCATATATCTTTCTCGACACTCCCAAGCCTTTTTCTTTGTGCCAGAAGAGTCGGTATGATCTTCTGTTGGTGGGTTTTGTGCCCCACTATTCAACATTCATTCATCATAGATGCCCAGTTTTCATGTATTCTTGCTTCCCTGGCCTCTCTTTATCTCACTCTGTAAGCAAAAAAGATCAGCCAGCCATGGAGACAGAGTGATCCCTTTTCAGTGCGTGACAGGGGAACCATACTTCCTAATTTAGTTCAAGGATACTAGATTCCTTGTGCATACAAGAAAGCTAACGATTGATAACTAGGTAAATTAGCATGAGTATCGTATAATTTGTTTATATATATATAATCAAGTTTTTTAATATCTCATGAGTTGGTGCAAAAAAATCAATAAAAAATATACATTTTTATAAGATTGTCATCATATTTAAAATGATAACTAGAAAACACCTACATGATAAAAATAATAAAAAAATCAGTAACATTTTTTTCCCTGCATAACAAGTTAAATCCTAGCCATCTCATCTTCCTCAACGACAACAAGAACAACAGGGACAGCCTATCTATATAAGAAAAGATATTTTATAAACGCGCCTGCCACGCTAGAACACATGCATACAGAAATTAATTATTAAGAGTTAAGAAAGCCGCCATGGATTACTTTATCTCATATACGTCCAAGAAAAATTAACACACACATACATATTTGATTAATCTGTCTATGATAGAGAGAGAGAACTGTGCATCTGTTAAACTTTCTTTGAAGAACTTGATTATATAAAGATGATTTGTTCATTGATTCCATTCATTCTAATAATAATCATAACAATATGAGTTTTCATGCTAAGAGTTAGCCTAGTTAATTATATGCATTGAACATTGTCCAATCAAGGATAGAAGGATACATACATTGTCCAATCAATGGCTAGAAAGTTTGGCAATTCAACAAAGGTGTCTGTACTACAGCCAAGAAAATAAAGAAGTTCAATAGTGACCAAAGCCGGGTCAACACATACATTGTCCCAGGCCTCCGTTTATCGAAATTTAAAGTAATTTAGAGTTTGTTTATTTTTTATTTTAAAATTATTTAAAAAAGTTAAAATTTTTATTTTTTATGTTTTAAATTAATTATTTTTAAATTATTTTAATATACTATTATTAAAAATAAATTCCAAATATTATATTAATATATTTTTAAATAAATGTTTGTTTAAAAATTATCACATGTGTTTATAATAAGTGTAGAAATTTTTTTTTAAAGTATTTTTTAAAAATATATTAAAATAATATTTTTTATTTTTTAAAAAAATAAACATGGCGTAGACTCTCTTTGGCGAGGTCGTCGGTGTCCGTAGACTCTTTGGTGGTGTCTTTCCCTTATAAAGACTAATCGATCGCTTAGATGCATATTCATACCCAGCAACCAGTAGGGGAACATAACTAGTACTGTTTCTTTTTAATTGAGCGCCCATTTCTCTTGAAAGTTGAAACCGATATGGCTACTGGTTTTGGTAAGAGAAGGGTGGCAACAGTGCTAAGCATTGATGGAGGTGGCATTAGAGGCATAATTCCGGGTTCCCTTCTTGCCTTTCTTGAATCCAAACTTCAGGTAGTTAATTTACTAACCAAACCATGTCCTTCCCTTTCATCTTTTCGTTTATGCTTATGCTTTGTTATTTGTTAGGAGCTGGACGGGTCACAGGCAAGGATTGCAGATTATTTTGACATCATTGCTGGGACGAGCACTGGTGGACTAGTAGCCACCATGCTTGCAGCTCCTAATAAGGAAAACAGACCCATGTATGCAGCAAAGGACATCAATGACTTCTATTTAGAGCACAGCCCCAAGATTTTTCCTCAGAAAAGGTGAATTCCAGTACTGGATCGATTGTTTTCTCCACATGCTTTAGCTGCTAGTACAGGACCTGTAAGAGAAAAGTTCCATATTAGCATGCTGAAGCATTGTTTCGAAGTATTTTCACTGTTACTAAATTGTTTTTTTTTTTTTTTTGTGGTGGATATTCACTTCGATCCGTTGAATAGTAACCTGTTAGGTCCGCTGTCAGTTTTCTTTGGTGGGCCAAAGTATGATGGGAAGTATCTGAGGTCGTTGACGAACAACTTGCTACGAGACTTGACTATCACACAGACCCTCACAAATGTTATTTTGCCTACTTTTGACATGAAGCTCCTTCAACCAGTGATCTTCTCCACCATTGAAGTATGATGCTAGTATCTATTAAGCCAGTTAGATAAAATCTTTCTGTACTTCGAAAGTCACAAGTTAACTGATCTTTAATTTTTCTTTTGTTTTACAGGGAAAGACAAATGCTTTGAAAAATGCTAGGCTAGCAGACATTTGTGTGGCCACCTCTGCAGCTCCAACATACTTGCCAGCACACTTCTTCACGACCAAGGATCCCAATGGAACTTCCACTCGCAATTTCGACCTGGTTGATGGTGCGATTGCCGCAAATAATCCTGTAAGTATCTAGCTAGGTTACATGAAAGAGTACTTGCAGTTAATTTACAATAGCATGGCTAAGAATAACCAATTCAATCCAATTATCCGCAGGCATTATTGGCCGTATCTGAGATCCGCAACCAGATCAGGATGCATACAAGTGAATTTCCTGGTGTGAACCCCACAGAGAAAAAGGGTATGCTAGTCTTATCGCTAGGAACTGGAGAAGCCAAGTATGAAGAGAAATATAATGCACCCACAGCCGCTAATTGGAGCATGATCAATTGGCTTTATAACAGTGGCAAAACACCAATTATAGACATGTTTAGCAGTGCAAGCTCTGATATGGTTGACTATCATATCTCCACCCTCTTCCAGTCTCTGGACTCAAAGGAATATTACCTACGTATTCAGGTATATATAAAAGGGATTATTTTTTTGCGACCATAATATTTTTTTGAATTAATTAGTCCAAAACAATTCCAACAACAAAGGGTGGCATGATTATATGAAAAGCAATCCTAACTAAAATGGAGTTTGCTGGTGTGGGATTAACAGGATGACAAATTGAGCGGGGATGCAGCGTCTGTTGACATTGCAACTACCCAGAACTTGCAAAGGCTTAAAGAGATTGGAGCTGAACTCCTAAAGAAGACAGAGTCAAGAGTGAATTTGGATACTGGCAAGTATGAAGAAATTGAAGGAGGACGCACGAACGAAGCAGCTCTTGCCAAGTTCGCTCAGTTTCTCTCAGATGAAAAAAAGTACCGGCAAACCAATTAATGGTGTTCACTTCCTACGTAGTTGGAATACAGGATTTGTGCACTTGAAAAAAAGTACCGGCAAACCAATTAATACATATTTTTTATGTACTACATGGTTGGAATACAGGATTTGTGTATTTGGAATAATAAAAACCACAGGGTTTTTTTTTTTTTTCTTTTTTTATGCCAATGTACAAGAAGCATTATCTATAAGTAATAAGAGAAGGGAGTTTTAATTTGCTTTCATATATATATATATATATATATATATATAAAAGAAACAAAATATCTCTTGCTTTAAGGCAAGAGAAACCTATGGACGTGTAAAACATGTTTTATGCAAAGGTTTGATCCCTTGTATAAGCTAAACTGCCAAAATTTCTGCATTTAGTTCAATTGATCCCATCCCCTAAAAAATCTAAGTTCAAGTTTTTCT